GCGTGGTTTTTGGTGCTGTTGTCGGCCTATCGCAGATTAATGGTGGCATCACATATGCGTCAAGCACTTCATTATTATCATTATTTTACGTCTGTACGACTAGAGTAAAGAAACCAGAGATGACCTGTGCAGTTTCTCATCCTAAACTTGCATTTGCTGCGCCTGGGGTGTGACTAACTTGTAGGAGTTGGATCAGATACATCGCCTCCTGTCAAAGTATACTGGAGCCAGGTAGCTGTGCCGGATTTTGCATCAAAATCTGTCCATTCCTTAAACACACCGCTACTTAGATTTTGAATGGAGGATTAATTACGTAGTGTTGCCACGAATTAATAGTCTGGCAGGGTGCTCATCGATCGAGCCGAAAGCGGCTATAATAAGGCGAGTTATATGTTTGCGATGGAGCCTTTTAATATAAATTAGAGGGGGAAAAAATCTGCTTGGTCTGGTGGGTATCTAGTCAAACGTCTAGCACTAGTAGATAGGCTAGGAATAGCCCCAGTTCTTTCTAGAAGAGGACAGAGGAGCGCTATCTTGATCGTCTCTTCCAGAAAGTGGTTGACGGTTGATCATTAGTAAACCATGGATATGAGTCTGTCTTTCAGACATGGCATTGTCGTTCAGACGCTTTATTTTGATTTTTGATTGGAGACCTGGAGTGCGGCGTGAGTGTCACAAAGTTACAGGAGACGATGTCCAGAAGGTATCAAGTAGATAAATGACGTCGTCAGACTTGAATGTTGACTTACAAATAAACAATTATGGATCCTACTGTACGTTGATTGTATATGGAGGGCCGGAGGGATCACTAGGAGGTGTCACATCTGCTACCACTTCCAAGCTATATCTGGCTCGTCGTCATTCATTTACGAGTATCGATGTAAGTTGATATGCATTTTACCACGAATCCAGAAGCTGGGTTATTGGATTTGGATCTCTATCGTCGACGTCGGGACGATCTATGTGTCACTTCCCATATCGGAGTAGCGCTCTTGGCTATTACCTCTTTCATACAGGACAGCTGCACCTGTCCCAATTAGTACCAGCAGTGGATAACCGAGTTTGCTGCTTCGGAGCCGAAAAAAACCAAGAATATTGTGTCCTTACTCCTTGGTCTTACGGAGTACTACCGTATTATTCCATACCTAGACGAACCAGACAGGTTACCAGTACCTGCAGGAGACCAGCTTCCCTGCGCCATCATCGTAGCACAGACTGCCTGGGCCGATGGAGATGCACCCAGGGCCCCAGGGGAGCATCCCAGCCACTCAACGTGCTTCCTTTTCTACTGCGCGGGCGAAGATTTTCCGTCCCCACTTTTGCCAGCAGGGATGTTCCAATCTTAATTCGTACCATATTCGGTCCTCTGCACATCTGAGGATGGGATGCTCACAGGCCTGCTTCCTTCCTCTCGGATGTTCCCTGATAGCACAGCGATGTGGCGGAGAAAATCTTGACTGGCATTGTGTTATCAATTTGTCTATCTCTGAGAATGGATATTCAACCTGAAAAAGGTCAGCTCTCTAACGCAGTAGCGGAATGACTTTGAGGTGAACTTCCCTGGATTCACCTTCACCAATCAATCATTTCATTTTTGACTGCAATTATTGAAATATGGAATCGTCGCAATATGCAGGAAGGTCTGGCCCAAAGCCATCATCCAAAATCAGTACCATTATACAAAGTACCATGGATGGAGGACTCATGGAAAATTAACGGGCAACACACGTGGAATCAGCAGAGGAGGTCCCCGAACGGTAGGTATCTTCTCCATAGTTAACCAAATATTGCAACAGTAATGATTCTCTTCTCGCGTGATTCGTCTGCTTCTGTTGCTCTGAACCCCCACTCCATTTACTATAAATATTTTAATTTGACAGGATCGCCAAGGTCAATAATCAATCAATAAGATCCTCGCATTAACCCATAACCGTCGAAAGAATAACAGTTTACCTCCCCCACGAATACTAAGCGCGATTGCGATCAACTCTCTTCTAGACGCTAGCTTCTGTTAAATGCTTCTCGAATCCTGACTAACGGCTGACTGACTCGGTACCAAATTACTTTGACACTTCGACGGTACCAGATTCCGGTGGTTGGGTGAAATTTAATTTAATCCCCGAAGACGGGTCCCTTGGTATTGGGATTTACATAGTACTCCGTACATCTATCAAATTAATAGAAACTTGCTATTTCCGATCCCCCTATCTACGGAGTAATCGAGGATTCAGGCGGCACGGAGAGACTAGCAGTTTACAGGCAACGGGATGAGGCCACTGGTGGGGTTTTCCTCCGTGCTTTATTCTAATCTATCGCGAAATTGAGCACCAGGGCCTTGCGAAATTCAAAGATCCAGAAATACGGTCCAAATGATACAGGACTTTCAACGAGTATGAAGATCATAATTGGGATTACGAGGGCTGAGGCCAAGTTATCATTGCAGTGAAGCCTTGTAGGCATCAGGCAAACCGTTCTGCTTTGACGTGTTTGTCACAGACAGTCATAGTGATGGGAAATATATATTGCGCAATGCGTGTCTCGACCATCTGGAGTCACCTTCGATTTGGATACAATATTCACTATTTACCGTGTCGACTAACATGAGATGCTGCCTAGATATTCCAGCAGAAAAGATAGCATAATTCAATTGCGAGTAGCTGGCCTCTCAAGGACGCTTTCGCATGTAGAACTGCGTTGCTGTGGGCCAGGCTAACCTCGATATCATATTGGGATTGTACACAAATTGAAATGATTTATCACACTCTGTACGAGTATATGCACGGCAATACTGATTACATGAACTCTTAACTAAGCATCTCTCAGGCTTTGGTACGGATCGCAGCTCAAGTCCCTCAGTTGCTCACCTATCTCAATTATCCCTATCATTCTGAACACAGCATGACAGACAATACTCCAAGATGGAAGGGAGAGATGGGGTATTGTACTATGACTCTGATAAGTTTATATCATTGTTCATAGCACTTCTCAACGGGTGAAAACTTCGTCTCATAGACGGGCTCACACCCAGAGAGGAGCTTACAGAGGATGGAGTCTGGACTGCATATCGGGACTATCAATCGCAGAAAACTTGTGGTTTGCGGACTGAAAAGTCCGTCAAACCTGAAGAAGCAGAAGCAGTCACATAAATAGCTTGTTCTTCTTCAGAAACGAGAGATTTCACCGTGTACTGGCATTCTAGAAATCGAAAAAGGGGGAAAGAATCAAAGCTTCGTCCTAGCAAAGACAGGGCGATGACATGACCTGAGCAACTGCATCGGAATTGTGGGCAGGCAAAGCGGCACAAGGCTCAGGACCTTTCTCACAAGGCCTTGCGTACTGTCAACCCTCAAGGACCCAAGCGTCCGGTAACGCCTTGCAGAATAGCCATTTAAATGCTATCTGTTGCAGACGATGGCAATCCAAGGAAGGAGCACGATGTCTCTTCAGAGCTCAAGAGCGGCTTTTGATATAGGTCGAGTACTCAAGAATAGGATTCCGACGAGCAACCTGGGGTTGCACAGACGGCAGCGAAATTGAAGATGTCGAGGAGCTGGGAATTCCAGGGAGGAAACCAAGGAAGAAGGATACATGAAAACTCTGACTAGCATGATCAGTCTGGCGCACAGTAGGTAAGGCCTACGCAGGAATCATCCTGGTATCGCCATGACCAAAGACTCTGAAGCTCCGCATGCAATTGCGGCAATCAATGTTTGAATAACCCTGCCTCTGCGACTTGAAGATGACTTTCATCGAGTAGGCGCCACGCAATGCATAGTGCACCTCTTAGACCCACTGCAATAGATGGGCTTCGGGATTGTGACTTCAAATGGAGCAATCGAGAACAAAGTAGTTTAGGGGAAGTATATTTGGATGTCAGCGTACAAGGCAACTATCATTGCGACTCTCAAATTACAACTCAGGGCCATGGTATCCTGTACAAGTCCACAGGGGTTCCTATATTTTATCCCTTTTTATCTCCATTGGGTCCATAACGAGCCCACTTAGTGAGCGAAAAGCAACGCTGTTCAGGGACCAATCCCAATCCACAAAAGGAATGTTGCACTTGCAAGCTCCCTGCTGGGCGAATCGGCCCAGTTCCTTTTAGTGGAAAGGAATTGAATCCCTGTCATGGAATCATATTGCTTTTTCGTATGGATCACAATCGGGATTAATAATGTCACTATCATTGTTGTCATTTTTGAGGGCAAGTATTGTCCGGGACTAACGGCATCGGTGTTTGCTTCGCTTTGGGGATGGACAGCAAACCCCGACGACCATCGTGGAAAGTCACTCGGCTAGCGCGCAGTAAGAAAGGATCATCGAATTTCTCTATGACGGATTTGGACGGCGTAATCTCGGATCCAAACTGAGGAGATGTCGGATCAGATTACTTGCCATCTAAACTGCTGGTTTGATGGTTTCCCACTTGCTTGTATCTGTAGTCCGTACAAAGTGTCCATTTTCAGTAAACAGCCGAGCCCCTATGGTCCATATGACAAATCTGTGGTGGGCACGTATCATAAGTCTTGAACTCTGAAGAGAGGATGTCCTTTGAGGCTACCTTCTAGTTTGATACAGACAGTCGCTTCAATGATGATGACCCCTCTTTGACTTAAACAATGAATACTCCTGAGCTGTTGATGTATGATGGCAGGTGATAAGATAAAGCTCTCTTATCGATAAGCATGCACATCATGTGTCATCACGTGCGGGGAAACTGTCACCTTCACAACTGAGATGGCATCAACAATCGCTTGGTGCATCCCCATGAGCTCCATTTCTTCACCCGAGGTCGATTGCTAAAGCTCATCTTCGACGCTACAAGCGAGAAACGATACAGCTGTCTGGTGGTTCCTTCTTTGTGATCCCATTTCGGACTGCGGGGTTCGGTTCTCTGTTGACTTGTCCACTGGGTTTCTTTCAGCATATCAACTCTTCGAGCTACCTACACCTATCGAATAGCCTTCCAACCCATCAGAAGGGTCAAACTTCTTACCATAATGTCACCTCCGCTTGTACCCCTAGCAGAGATCCCGACTGTCTCGCTGTTGTACAAACTGGGTCGTCTAGTCCCCTCCTCTGCACCACTTGCCCAGCCGTCAATCTCATTCAATAACATCATCTCACTCATTCGAAACGACATCACGAAATTGGAGAACGTCGACTGCATTGTCAATGCGGCCAATGAATCGCTTCTTGGAGGGGGCGGTGTGGACGGAGCTATCCACCGCGCTGCAGGACCAGACCTGCTGACGGAATGTCGGACCCTGAAGTTCTGCAGGACTGGCGATGCCAAAATAACATCTGCATATGAGCTTCCATGCAAGAAGGTTATTCATACCGTTGGACCAATCTACCATTTTGAGTTGCCAAAGGGCGACGACAGACCTGAGATGTTACTGCGGAGCTGCTACCGTCGAAGCTTGGAGTTAGCTGTCGAAAACGACATGAAGAGCATTGCTTTTGCTGCAATAAGCACCGGTGTCTATGGATATCCAAGCAACGAGGCTGCCTTTGCGGTTCTTGATGAGGTTCGGAAGTTTTTGGAGGGCCCTGGCAATATCGAGAAGCTGGAGAGGATCATTTTCTGCAACTTCGAGCGAAAGGATGAAGTGGCCTATGAGGAAGCCATCCCGTAAGTGACGTTGCTTGAGTTCTTTACCTTTTTGGCGGCCCGAGACTGATTGTTGATAGCTTGATATTTCCCCCAGTTGAGCAAGACCTTCCTCGCCATAGTACCCATTCCGAAGTCCCGGCAGAGGCGACCGCTGAATCTTCGCCGACGCCAGAGATTCTCGCAGCCAAACTCCCTGACCCACCCACTGCAGACCCTGCCCTGGAAGGCCAGCCCGAAAATAAAAAGCAAAAACTTAATGCGGACGAGATCAAACCAAGTGTCGACGCTAAGACTGAAGGCGTCCAGTCCAAGATTGACGATAAAAGTGAGGATGATTGGGAGGAAGTCGACAAGTCGGAGGGCGGACCAGCGGAAAGGCTTGACGATGAACCTGTCGAGATCGAAAGGGCTCCTTCTGCAGCAGACGTACAGAGTGTCCAATCCAGTGGTATTATCGAGAAGGATGCGTTTCACCCAGCAGAAAACTATCTAGCAAAGGACTGGTAGTCTGCACGTGGCAGGTTGATCAGAAAGGAAGCTCAGGGCTACTTAATACGACTTGATGCAGCTACGATGATCTGAATTGGACATGATGGCGTTGCATGTGTTTCTGGCACGGATGGATGGCGTTTTTTCACTTCTAGTTAATTATTGATTCGTCAAAACTTTGAAGCTTTTCTTTGGACGTAAAATGCAAACGCTGCAAACAAGCTTCTAGACCAGTCACGCTACCAATATCTTTATCAATCGCATGCGACAGTAGATATTTCCTACAAAATGAGAAATTCCTATTCTTACTTCTAGATCAATATATATCTTTCTTATCTTGGTTTGCCTAGAGCTCACTCTCTTTTCCTCAATATCCCAACAAGCCGATCGTCTCAATTGAGGCTACATGCACCGATAACATTCTGCACGAGCACACCAACCACAAACATGCCTCCGCCTCAGCCCACACCAGAGGGGCCACCTACAGGCAAAACGACCTCAAGATTCAGAGTCCTCGCGCCGGAAATGGCCAAAATACGATCATCCAAATTACCTGTCCCGCCGACCACACCACCCTCCACCTCCGCACCCGCCAGCGCCGCCGCAAATCCCTCGCCCTCATTCCCCCAAACACAAACACAAACACAAACACAAACACCAACGCAGTCATCACCTCGTCCGAACCGACCGTCTCTCTCCTCCCTCTTCCGCCAACGCTACGCGACCCTCCCAACACCCATCCGCCGAACATTCCGCGTCCTCCGCATACTAGCACCCATCGTCCCAATCGGGATCTTCTTCTCCGAACATGTCCTCCAGGTAATGTGGGTGCGCGGGCCGTCAATGACGCCCTTCCTGAACGAGGACTACGAAGCCATGCATACGAAGAGCGATATGGTGCTGGTGAATATGTGGCCGTTCGGCGGGGCGGGGTGGCCCTGGGAGCGGAAACGGAGGTTGGAACGGGGGATGCTTGTTACGTTTCGGTGGGTGGTTTGCGCTACCTCTACTTCTGTTTATGCGATTGCGATCGATGGAAGGAATATGCTGACTGGTGCGTCGTACTAGGTCGCCTGCTAATCCTAAACACACCGCCATCAAACGAGTTATCGGCCTCCCCGGTGATCGGATCATGACTCGTGAACCGTGTATGAAGGCGTCGCAGATTGTGCCGTTCAATCATGTCTGGTTGGAGGGTGATGCGGAGGACCCGAAGAAGTCGCTTGATAGTAATACGTATGGGCCTGTGAGCATTAGTCTTATCACGGGGCGAGTGATTGCTGTGTTGAGGCCGCAGTTTAGGTGGCTCAACTGGCGAGATTGGGAGAAGGGGGTTGTTGAAGGTGATGGAGATCATAGGTTTGGGGAGAATTATCGTCAAGATGTACGGCAACGGGTGTTGAAGGAGGCTGTCAAGTTGGAAAGACCTCAAATAGAATAGGTAAGGTCCTATGCCTCGGTTCCTTGCAAATATGTTCTCTAGATGCACTGTATATAGTGTGTGTATTTGTATATTGATATTAGAGTGTAAGATACGTGAACGTGATCATGAACATTGATATGCCAAGGGCCTCAAACGAAACAGTCTGGCTCAAGCAGCCCCGAAGAACTACCTCTATTGTCCTCGCCAGTGCCGGAAACGACAAAGCCAATCAATTATCTCTAAGTTTTGATTAGGCGGATGTCTTCCGGCTTCTCCTCCTGCAATCGATCTATCTCGGATGAAATACTCATAACCCAACGATCCCTCTCTATCCGGCTCCGTGCCTTGAATACCACAGTCCGTCCAGGGACGCCGAGCGTAGACACCTGCCTGAGCTTCTGCTTCGTTTTCCCTCTCTTACCGAGCTCCTGTGCCCTAAAATAATTTTTTCGTAGAGGCTGCCAGACGACGAACGAGATAGCTGTATCCTCGTCACAGGTGGTGTAGACATCGGATGAAAGATAAATGCGAGGTAAGGCATGGTGACCCGGATGGTTGCTGTCGAAAGTCCGGTTTGCGTAGAGCAGATCTGACTCGGTCATTAGACCCGAGTAGATGTAGCAGTCTTCCAAATCCAATGTGGTTTCGAGACTCTGATGAATATGAGGAATCTCGACACCAGTACGCTTCCGCACTGAGCTACGGAAGATCAGAAGCTTCCCGGCAGCCAAAATGACATCGCACCTCTTGAAGGTAGAGTGGCGGCGAGGCTTTCGAAAGAGCTGACCGGACATCTGCAACCTTATGGTCAGTATGTGATTCAATTGCACTAGCTTCGCACGGCGTACCTTTATTGTCCGGCAACCCGATAGAGTACATATGTTGTGCAACAAGGGTGATGCTTCTGACTTCTTTGTTTCCCATTCCTTGGAGAACTGTCCTACCACAGACTCAATTCCTTCATCGATGCCCAAGATCTTTAGATTGCGCTGCCGAATCGCCTTGAGCTCGACCGAGTCGGCCGCAACGCGGGCTCTCCAATATTTGACCAGTGCGTCCATTCTCTTCATCCATTCGTTCCTGGTGGTCATGTCATACGCTTGCAATCGAACAACAAGATCATTGTCAAGTACCATTTCAAAAGTTCGATCATCGTCAAATTGCTTTGTTGCACCATCATCCCGATGGGTGTCTTGCGTCTCAGGGTTGAATTCGACATCGGGACCTTCACGAATGTTTGGATCGGCAGGGGAGCTGCCACGCCACACTTGACGTACCTCCCGAACTTTACAAAGATCGATGAAACCATCCGCATGGGTGAGATTGTGCATGGACCTTTTTGCATGTGCATAGGCGTTTTGATCATGCTCCTTCAGGTGGGCCTCATTCCCGCTAGACATCCATGTGATCTCACCGTTATGGATTGGAAAGGGATCAACGTCATATGAGAGAGGCATCTCGTTCAATATCTGCTGCGCTGAGGGTATGCCAGCCTCGTCCGAGCAGAGTTTCGGGGGAGTAGGAGGCAGGGCTTTCGCTGGTCTGCAAAACAAAAGATAATGATCTTGTGTGAAAAAATAGAGGCGCTTAAAAAACATCCTGTTCATCCGTTGATGCACACCTCTCTGAGATGTCAAACGGACCAGGAAGCCTTCCACGGGTTGCGGCTCTTCGAGTTTCGCATCACCATTCTTGACGAATGTCTGATAGTGTTGCCTTGGTCGCAGCTGAAGCTGGTGGGTGGTCTGCATTGCAAGAGATCCGTACATCTTCTCTTCACCCAGGCCAACCACCCACTCCAGTCTGTCGTAGCGCTTCCAGGCCAAGCCCATCTTCTCGGTTTTCGACCACTCGCGTAGCACTTCTGCCCATTCGGTGCGGTTTTCCAGTAGGTCCATACAACCGCGAAGGATAGCCGCAGCAACATCGGTTACGCGATCTTTCGATTGACCGTGTGTGCCATCGCTATTGTCCCCCTCCCGGGTCTCCCACTTGGACTCCAACTGCTCAAAAGGATTTTGGAAGACAAGAGAAACGCCCAAATCAGGAACATTAATGGCTAATGAACTTGGACGGTGCCGCCCCAATACTTGATATATAAACGTGAACCACTCAGTGGCATGCACTGCGGATTTGGGCCGAATTATGTATATCTTTGTACCACGCTTGCAGGGTTTCCAAATCACAATGGTCTTATCCAAGCAAGAGTATAGGTTTACCTTGGTATTCTTGCGATTCAAGGCAATTTCGTAGTAGGGTTTGACCCTAGAATTTGACTTTTGTATCTCCGGAACGACGCGCGTCTTATACATCTGAAGCGCAACAGGTGACTCCACGTCGGATGTTAGCCGACAGACGACAAGAAACTCCCTCCAACTCTCTGCAACCTTCGTTTCCAACCTCAAGCTATCATTTTCAGTGTAGTCATTCGGGAGCTCTTTCTGCACTGTCACCTCGACGCGAACAAGCATCCTCTCCGCTCGGATAATCTCGCCCTCACGCAGCTTGCGCCGTTGTCGACGATTTCCTGAGAGCACATCATATGTGTAGGCTATACGGGACATTAGCCGTTGCTGTCTGTCCATGAGCTTGTCATCGAATTTGTAGCTTTTCACTTTCCCGCCGAGTGAAGTTATAGAATATCTATTCAGTCGAGGATCAACCACATCGTCGTCTCTTTCACTCTGCGGCTCCTGTCGCCCAAGGCTGGCAGAAGACAAGGCTTTGAGTTTCCCTTTCCCTTTAGAACGCAAACTAGGCCTTAGCAATGCCGTTGTAGAGCCAGATTCGCTAACGGGTGCCACGGGAGATGACTGACTAGCATCTTCTTGGCTAGGGATACTCAACGTCCGGTTGCTTTCTGCTTCGGCTGTGCGGTAACCTTGCTCAGCTGTTCCTGGATTGCTTTCTCTAGCTGTATAATATGCTGTCGGTGCACCTTTTTTCTTCTTAGATGGTTCATGGTTGAGCTGCGGTTGGCTCTGTTCCTGGGACGAATCTAGGACAGTTATACCCCCTGGGGGAGCTTCAGCCTCTGTCAAAGGATACGGTATGGACTGGAGGTCTTCAGGCTGCTCATCCGTCTCCCGATCATCACCTTCCTCTTCTGACCTGTCTTCAATCTCCACCTGAATCGTAGTATCAGCCAGTGAGGTATCAAGCTTTCGAGCAGATGATGAGGCTGCTTCTGGTTCCGACTGATCTGCGGCAGGAGTGGTTGTGTCTGCGGTGAACGTAACAGCTCTCGAAGTATAGTTCCGAAACTCGAGTCTGGTTTTGTACCAGTGCTTGCGGTGGTGCTGCAGCCAGCCCTCGGGAATTGGTCCGATGAAAAATCTCCTACTTGTCATGTGCAGGTGATAGCCGGAGGCATATCGCTTGAAGCCGTCAGTCAGCTTCGTGGTATCTCATACAAGTTGCATCTTCCCAGTGAACCTATTGACAGGATACTTACTAATCTTTCGGCCGTAAAAGACCCTGGCTCAAGCCCATGCTGATGTTCGTGGAACACGCTTTGGGCTGTCTCCATTCTCCCAGCGCTGACATTCTGATCAGCAGGGCTCTGAGTACTCATCGGACTTCACCGCAACCCCCG